ACAAAAGACAGGGAAAAAAGAAAAAAGGATTATTCGCCAAAAAAAAAAAAAAAAAAAGAAATTATTTGCACCCCCAGAGTAATTTGAAACAGCTATGCCACTAGGACTGCCTCTCACATTTTCATTAAGTGGACTCAAACAGTTTCCTGAATAACTAATTCTTACAAAAATGCATCTCCCCACTCCTTCTTATGAAAGATATGATTTAGGAAATTTGAGAAAGCAGTGTGAGAGCAAAATGCCTCCATATAAGATTTCTTAGTTTTCTCCTACCTTGTTCATTAAAATTACTCTCACAGTTACTTCAAAACCTTTCTTTCTCTTCCTCCAAGAGGCCTTTTATTTCAGTCTTCTGCCACTTTTATGACCACATACCTTGCAGACCAGGTGTCGTGGCCTGGGAACAGGGCTAGACTCTTCTAAAATTACAAGAACAGTGCTTTGGATGCAACATGAGACTGTTGATGGACACCGAAAAATGGAAGAAAATTGTTTTTAGTATCACTTGAAATTAAAAGGAGCCGGTTGTAGCTTTAACACTAAATGGGTATGGTTTTTGCCAGTTTTCTCAGATGCACATATATGGAAGTATATGTTTTGCTGTTCTAAAATTTCTGGATTTTTAACCAAGTTTATTTGCTTTTCTCCATGTTATAATATTTGAATTAGCATGTCTGACAATGTTGTTAGTATATCAGGACTAAATCAGCAAAACAGAGGCTGTGTCTTATCTCCCACTTACCTACATAGACATTTATACCTCAAGCCAGCATTAAGGTAACTGAGTCTTTCACAAGATACCGTTAAGTAATAAGCAATCATAACCAACAGACCTAAGCTTAGAGGGACAGAGGGTGTTGTGCTCCTTAATACCAAGCAGATGGAAAATCCCGGAGTTATTTTTGTAAATTCTATCTTGAACTACATGGAACCAAGCTCTGCCCTTGGTTATGCCCAGAAATTTCACTTCTACTTGCATAACTTAATATATCAGGACAGAACTGGACTTTATATTCTCAGCTAGAAAAATGACAACTTTTTTCTTGCAGTGAAACTGAGACTAAGATGTTGTCTTAAATGAATTTGTCTTTGGTTTTATGAAGAAACCTTGAGGAAAAGAAAATCAGATAGTAATGCCATTAATGACAAATTCTGGTGATATCAGCTTTTTGAAGAGCCAGACAATAAATTACTTGGTCAAAGAACAACTCTGGAAATGGCAAAATCCTCAGTTTTAAGATGTTAAATGTGGAAGGTGAATTACACCAGGAAAATGAAAAATGTCCAGCTAATCTCTATGTCATTGCATTTAAGATAATAATGTAAAGTGTCTTCTACTAAGTCCAGTAAGGTATAAGCAAGGTATTCTTTGAGTGCAGAAAGATGTTATTATACCTCTTTTTTTAAATCAATTCTAAAAGCATTCAAAAAATACTAATTGTAAGGCAGATAACATGGGAACTGGGTCACTGTGTTTACATAGGCTGGTCTGTAGCCCCATTGCTGAAAATTAACGACAAGGACAGACCTGAGCATGCAGCACGTTTATATCTAACACTTCAGTATATATCCACGGTATTGCTGTGCTGGTTATCTCCACTGACTTCCCAGCATGAGCCCATCTCTTTATCTTCCAGCTGAGACACTTGGGAAAAAAAACCCCAACAAACCACACACACAAAAAAGGAGTTGAGAGGTCTAGTATTCATAAATAACACCACTATGTTACAATAACTACCATCTTTTGATCACCCTTTTTCATCACATATGAAGCACAAGGCACCATAAGCCTTTGCTCAGGAACTGAATGCTTTCCTGTTCTTTAGAATATGACACACAAATCACACATATTGCAGTGTGTTTTGCTAAACATAAACCAGATCCACGGCTATCATACTTTTATGAATGTACCTGGAAAGATGAGTGCTGGAGCCCACAGTGTCTGCGTATAACACAGTAGCTTGGTATCATGAGATATATTCTACCTTTATTCTTCTGTATTCTGGAGGAAAACAAGAAAAAGAGAATTACTTCTAATTGTGATATACAAATTATTGTACACTTCAAAAATGTTTAAAACACAGTGCAGTTACAGAATATGTGGAACAACATTCTTAGCAAAAATGCGTGTAGCTTTGTATCTGTATAGAGAATCTTGCATCAGACTATATTGTGGAGATTGTATAAGAAAGCAATTCATTAGCAGAAACATTTCAGAAACAACATTCTAGTAGATTAGTATTTGGTGGCAGATTACTAAGTAAGGAGTTATCTTATCAAATGACATTTTTTAATAGATATATGCAATATATCTATATATATACACACATACATATTTTTATATGTGAACATTGCTTATATTTATTTGTTCATGGAGAGGTTCTAATCACTAGAGCACTTTAATAAATGGGGACACAACTGGCAATGCAAGCTTTTAATTAACAGAGAAAGAAGCAGTTTAACAAGCGTTCCAAAATCTGTAGAGCTACATGTTCTTAAATCTAATTTATGTACCCATTTAAGTATATGCCCTTTTATATACCCTTTGTGTGCTTAACTGCTTAAAACATTTTGAACAGGCTGTAGCAGCGTTTTGCCAAATATATTAGCTGCGAGTAGTGTTATGTATCTTGACTTCCACTATTTGATTAAATGAACTAAATGACACTGGAACAGCAGAGATTAAAATAGGTCTTGTGTGTTTTTCCAGAATGGTGCTGCTGAGTCCCAGCATGGCAGTGTTCATACTTGTATTTGTCTTCCCTTAATGACAGCAGCAAGAGATTCACTGTTAGGACCTGCTTTTATAATGTGACCAACAAAAAAAATAATCAGTGGCTTTTCTCTTGCATAACAATACTTTCCATGAAAAGAAAAATCAGGGTATATTCTCTTTAACAAAGATTGGTAGGCTTCCCTTTCCTCTGGGCAGTAAATGCAGAGTAAATTTACTTTGAATAAAGTCTAAGCTGCCAGAGTTGCATGGCTTCTGGAGTGGCACTGCCTCACAGCTGGCCTGGAGAGTCAGCGGAGTCGTCCAGATGTATCTGCACATCTGTGCAATGTGTGGTATAACTGCACATCAATATCCTACAGTGCTCCTGCATTCGTTTATTTCATTTAGGAAATGCTGTCCTTTGAAAAAGCATTCCCCTTCCTTGCTTCCTAAAATGCTCATTGATTGCCAAGTATGCCGATATACGCAAGATGGGCAAGTAAGCCTTCTGTCATGAATACTAAGATGTGAGAGGAAAAAGTCATTCACCTGGACATGAATATGTGTTTTGTTAAAAAAAAACAAAAACAAAACAACAACAATTAAGTCTGGGAAGGTACTTCCTGAGCACACCAGCCACAGAATGGCAGGTGCTGAGCAGTGCTTTGAAATCCGCCGACATTTCCACGGGGAACACTGTGCTGTCAGCTCACCGGTACTACTTAGGAACTGGGCACACACCTATCTTGTCACCTGTGTGCAAGTTATATAAATGTCCTTATATATATGTCTGTAGATTTACATATGAGTATACAAGTAAGGACTTGCAACTATATACATGCAAAGTAAGCATATCAAGACCAGTGAATGATTCCTTATGGAAACATCTACCAAATTCTGACACAAAATCTGAGTTTGAATTGACCTTGCTCCTGTAAATTGGGTTTGACTCATCTTTTACCTGTCATTTACACCCAACTATTTTTACATGTTTGCAACCTGCAATTAAAATCAGTGAAAGAGGAATTCTACAGTATCTTTTTTTTTTCTTTTCTAGATTCTAGAGTATCTTTTTATTTGCTTGCAGATTAAAAAATTTAGTGCATTACTCAGTCCATTATTAAACAAAAATATTAGCCACAGTTAGCACAACAAATAAAATTCTTCAATCAAAATCTTCAATCAAAATCAAAACCTGATCTGGGTTGTGTGATTTTGATGATTGTTCCATACCGGATTTAAAAAGAGTACCGAAAGGCGTCCTCTATTAAGCAGCTCAGTAACCATTATTTTATCCCTTAAAAGTGAAGACTGTTAATCCTCAACACAAGGTACAGACAGGGTGTGGGGATGAAACCCCAAAACAGTGAAAATCAAGTGAGTCAGGCTACACGAGTGTATGTCTGTAATTCAGACCTGGTTTCATATCATGGACTCTCCCACCACAGTTTCTGTAAGGTCAAACAGGAAAATTCCTTGTCAGATCCTTTGTAAGCCACAAAAGCCAGCATTCCTCCTCCAGGTCCCACAGAACCTTGTCCCCATCACAGCTGGTGCATGCATTAGGACTGAAAATTGATTAACTAGGAATTACAGAGGGACAGAGTAAAGCAATGGAAACCCACATTCAGATGAAACTCAGGTTAGAAAGCATACAGTTTTCCAGACAGAGTATTAGGCTTAGGGCATCTTAGAAAACTCATCTGAGTATCCCAGCTTAAAGTCGGGGAAAGGCTGAAGGCTTTATTTCAGAAACATGACCTGTGTGCACTGAGCCCAACAACGATGATGGAGAGAAAAGCCAAAAATAAAGACATGTGAACTACATTACACAGTGAAAAATACAAAATGCCACTGATTGGATATCAGAAACCTGAACGGGGCAAGAGCTGACCTTGACCATGAAGAGCAACAGTGAGACTGAGAAAGCAAAGTGGACGTTAATGGAGATTTTGTATTTTTCTGTAAAGGGGTTCAAACTGTTAACACGACCAGTAACTTCCACTACCGGCTAGAATACAGGCAGAGTGAATGAAGATGCAAACCCCTCAAACATCAAGCTGGTTTTGAAGGCATTTGACTTCCTTTCTCTACACAATTTTCTTCAAAAATCCATACTTTCAGCACAGAGCTACTGCTGTGTTTTCAGTTATCTCAGGGGACACAATACAGTATCTGAGATCACTTTAAAAAGCATTTTTGTATTGATATAAGCTGGTGTAGCTGCAGAAAGTGCCTTTTTCTTCCCCTTTCACAAACCCAATGGGAACAGAGCCACAAAGCAGCGTTTTGTCGCCGAGAACCTGCCTCAGGGAACCGCTGCGCAGCCGCCCGCAGCCTCCACAGTAGGCTTGAGATCCCCAAACCAGAGCCACAAATATTGTGCCTTTGCATTTAGGGCTTCAGAAGCGGATGTTCATGTATTTCACAGGGAATTGATTTAGCTCTGCAGACAGGTACTGAAGATGTGCTCGCTTTAAAGGCTGAGGCAAAGCAGACAAGCCGTGGTTCACACTGGAGTGTCACTACCTGTGACTCCATTGTGATTACAGTATTGAGTATTTTTTTCCACTGCAGATGCCTTGCTGAGAAGCTTTTCTTCAAAACCTTAGGGAAGTACATCCTACTATTCTATAATGTAATTGCTAAGGTAACATGGCTTATGACATAGCTACAATAGTCTCAGTGTCTGAAAAATAACATCTCACTAAAAAGATTAACCTGAGTTGAACCAAGTGTGTGAAAACTACTAGATATTTTTTTCTCCCAAATAGAATTACTTCTTTCTTCCTTAGGATAGAGTTTTGTTAACTAAATGAAAGTATATTTCCCAAGCAGTGCAGCTATATCGCTTTCTTGTTTAAATTTATTTTACAGTTCATTAAATATTAAAAGTATTGTCTCCTTTAACACTTCTGCAAATACTACTTTCTTCTGCCAAGCCCTTGGAATTTTTGTCAGTATTTTAGAAAAAATATATAATAGCATAATAATTTCATGACAGAATGCTGCTTTTGCATAGTAACCCAAATTTCATAGCTTTGCAGAAGTGGTAGGGTGAATATTGTTAAGTGTGATCCACCCCAGTTAACCCAACATAATATGGAATTCCATTAGAGAAAAATGCAGCCTAAAAAGAGGACACCAAAATCATATCCCGAGCCTCTAACACAAGATTCATTGATGACATTCTGGCTTAGCAAAGGCTATTTTGAACAGTCATGTACAGGTGAGAATTTTTTGTGGGATTTCATTCAGTCAAAGGAATAGATGTAAAGCTTTCCAGGTAGGGGGGGAAAGTTGGTAGGCTTTGTAATGAGCTCTCTGACTGGAAGAGAGTCTACCTCTGTAACAGGATTTTCTTTCTTTTTTTGTATTTTATTTGAAGCTCCTGAAGGAGGAAGTGCTTACCTTGAAGGGTTCATGCACACACTCCTAGAAATCTCTCTCACAGGTAATTATTCTTTCCAAGTGCTATATCTTTGTAGAAATATATTAACTTCCCCTATTCTTTTCGTGCTGCAACTTGGATTGGCTTAGTCAAAAATGGCTTCTGCTGGGTTTTAACATTTGAAAAACTGTATTCCCAAAAACAATTATAATGTGATAATTCATTAGAAAAAATTATAAATGTAGACTTGCAAACTATAGAACAGAAGCTCTACAGAGTCTTTAATCCATCCATTTCCAAAAATTGAAGTGATCTTCTGTTAATTCATACTACAATACATCAGTTATGAATGAAACAGTTTTGCATTGTATCCCACAGAAGTTTTATAATTACTTTGTATTGCTTAAAATGTTTTTTAGAATGTTTACATGCATGGGAAAATTTCAAACAACGCTGGCTACAGATGTGTATGTGTGTGCTTGATAAAGCTTGGTGAGGCTTATGAGGAGTGGAAAATAAATAAGCTTTAACCAACTTTATAAAATTAATTAAAAAAATTAATACATTTAAAAATTAGTTTTTTCCTGTATGCATATTTGGAACATCCTCAGTAAACTAAGTGCTAGATATTTTTTCCACTATCTTGGCATTAAAGAAGATGAAACATAATAATATCTGTCCTCCTGACATGCTTCTGTGTTGTTCTGATATGCTATACTGTGACACAGCAGTTCTTTGCAGTCTGATTAGTGGATGCTCAATAGAAGTCTATTGAAACTTACTTCAATATCGTGTTGGATTTGGCCTTTTAAAAATTTTATACGGATCCAAATGTGTCCCCTGACTGCTCCATCCTCAGCAGAGTAAATACAAGCAGTGTCAAATAGTGCAGCCATATCCCACCACGCAGCCTCGCTAGCGGGCTGCTGTCTGCAATGGGCTTGGAGTAGCAGTAAGTCTCCAGTGAAGGAAAGCTGTATGTGCAGTATTAAGTCCACATACAGGAGGAGATCTCCAGAGCAAAAAAGGTATTGTGCAAGGAGCTGATGGCCTGACTTCAAGCTTTTTGGCAGATTTTACTTCTGGCCAGCCCAGTTATGTAGAATGGCTGCCCAGTAGGGGCTGACAGTTATAAGGTGTGCTTGTGGAGCACGTCTTTTATTTTACTTCCGTATGCCAAGAATACAGACCATGCTCTCCAAGATCATAGAATGGCTCAGGTTAGAAGCAACCTTAAAGGTTATCAAGTTGCAATCCCCTTGCCATGGGCAAGGACACGCTTAAGTAGATGTGACCGAGATACACTGTAAGAGGGCACCCCTAAACTGAACTAGAGCATTGGTAGACACACATCCTAAACCAACACCACTTCCAGATATTAAAATCAACTTAGATGCTGCACTTTTTTTTGGAAAGCAGATATGTCTCTGATGCAAATGTATCTTGACTTTCTGTTAATCAGCCTGCCTTGCTCTCTGGCAGACAATATGGAGAACTGCACGGAATCCCCTCCTTCAAGGTAGCTTCTGCATAGGAATAGATCTTTAAAAACTCCTTAAATTCTGAATTGAAGTCCTGAAAGCCTCCATGACATTTAATTTTTGTTCTCTGCCCAGACTTCCTCAATGCCACATTGCGATCCAACAACAGAGAGATCAAACTCTTCCCTTCTATGGGGAAGAGGCTATGTGCAAAGATCTTGAAATAAATATTAAATAGAATATTAAATCTTTCAGCTCCATTTCATTGGAGCAAATACATGTTCATTATCCACATATTGGCTAATAATAAGCAGTATCTTAACAGATCCTGACAGACCTTAATTGGAACATACATGTGTATCTCTAGCCATATTTCATTTGATATTCTTTTTCTTCCTTTTTCAGATAGTAATTAAGAAAAGAACCATTGAATAAAAATTTATTCAATAGAATGTTAATGTACTTTAAATACAATGATCTGCACATAATATGGATAATTCAGATGGAAAAAAAGCTGATATTCATCTATCTCATCCTGGATTTACTTTGCTGATGATTATGGACACAACTCTGTTGGATACTGGCACAGAAAATATAGAGAACACAGAGAAATCAGCCATGGAGAGATCCAGAGAGGAGCAGAGAATGAGGTGATGAAGAATACTAGAATGAATCCTGTGCATGAATGATATCTCAAAATGGCATACGAACAATTTGAACAGTCTGAGAGAGATCCATGTTGCAGAGATTACCTAGATACAGCTACCAAATGTGGCTGACAGGGAAGGGTTGCTTATGAAAATTATTACTATGATTACTGAAGTCACTCTTTATCTTAGTCTTTAATTAGCTTCTATGGGCAAATTCATACCGGAAACCCCCACCCAGTACAATAATCTCAAAGTTGCCCCAGTGTCTTAAGCATCACTTGGCACAGACACCCATTTGTGGGGAGGATCTGTTTAGGGTACTGGGATGAATATCTTAAAAGCTTTGATTGTAACTGGTAATTCAGATGACAGCAAGAGTTCTCTACACAGCCTCACTATCCACTGCTTTACATCTCATTGCAGATATTCCAGCAGGATAATAAAAAGCTCAGTTCCCGCTGGGATACCGGACCCCTCTGAGCATCATATCCTAACTGGGCAGGAATGCAGGGAGCTTGTAGCAATAGTGCTTGCCTTACACACACCTTCTTACAATTCCAGCTGACTAAACCACTAGCTGGTGCACCTGCTGCACAACAATGACAGATTCCAATAACACAGTATTAATCATATCCCTATTAAAGAAAGCTAGGTTAATTTCATAGGGTCATTGCAAACTAAATCATATTAGAGTACATGCAATGCAGATATCTGGCTTCTGTCTGTTTTTCTCTAGGAATACATACCAGACACATACCAGACTTCTAGTTTCAGCAACCATTCTTCCTTCAAAACATTCACACATCAATATGCAGGTGTATCTTTACACACACCAGGACACACAAACCACACACTTTTCTTCTTCTCCAATAATATTAACATAAAATCATTATAGAACAAGAATTAGCTATCATCTATAACCTTTCAGATGAATCTGAAGGGCTAAGAAGTAGAACTGGATAGTTGCCCAATGTATCCAGAGATCTTGCAGTCTGCAGTCCTTGACCCAAAGAGCTCATCAGATAACCTTTTTGGTAATAGTGAAATAAAGATAGCAAAAATTATCTCATGAGAACAACCTTTAGCAACACTTTATTACATATGACACATACTTACTTACAGCAGTCATTTGTAGAAAAGAATAACTGTCAGTGACTTTAAGAGCTTTCTTACGTTAATAAAAGATAGTATATCAGATGATTTTCTAATAAAGGCTCTTAGTTCAACTGAGTCAAATATAGGAGCTTTATGTACTTTGACAAACACTTAAATGTAAGTATCTGAACACTGGGATATCAATTTATGACCAGATAAAGGTTATTTTCCACTCCTGATACGAAAATATCATCTACTACTGTCTGTGCCAGGTGCCCATGCAAGTGGTGCAGTCTATTCATTGCAACCAACAGAGCTAACTCCTTTCTCTCTGGATTGAGAGTCAGACTCTTCAAATAAGATACTCGGCTAACTTTGTATGATGTTGGAAAGGCTTTTGCTGAAGCATGCAGCTCTTGTACTACAATGTACACAGCTGCTTGCTTCAACAGCCCGTTCAATTCAGTATGCCATTCTTGGGCTGGCTCATTGATCTGATTAGCTCTTGATCAGCTCAAATTGAGATCCTTTCTTCAATCTATAAAGATAAGCGAGCTCTTTACTTTCTGATATCCACAAAGTAAATCTATTTCAAAAAATGTACTCCTTTCTCCAGACACTGTTCTACTGCGTTTGCTGACTTCTCTGCTCTCTTTGACTGTTGAGATACAGCCAAAGTAGCCGCAATCTAAATTGCCCTTTTAAACAATTTTCCCAAACCCTTTATTTCCATAGTCTTGCACTATTACAGATCTGCATTAGCATATATACTTTATATCCATTAGAAAATTAATATTTCCTTTTTTTTTTTTTTAAATCAAGTCTCTAATATTATCACTGAAGGGATAAGGAAAAGTGGGTGATTAGGAGAATGAGTTATCTGGTACCATCACTTTTAAATGTATTATCTCTCTAAAGTTTCTGAGGAACATTTGAGAGCAACAGCTGTGTGACAAAATGGCCAGACTTCTTCATCATGGCAGGTAATCCCCAATCCTACTTAATCTCCCTTTCAGTGTACTCACCTGTGACATATAAAGCTCCAATCAACATCATATCTCTGTCCCAGTCCTATAACTTCTCTAAATTTGTAGTTCTCCACCTCTACTGCACTCTCATGAGACCTCACCTGGAATACCGCGTCCAGCTCTGGGTCCCCCAGCAGAAGACAGAAAAGGACTTCTTAGAGCAGGTCCAAAGACGTCCACAAAATGGTCAGAGGGCTGGAATACCTCTCCTGTGAAGAAAGGCCAAGAAAGTTGGTGTTGCTCAGCTTCGATACAAGAAGGCTCTAGGGAGACCATTTTACAACTTTTCAATATATAAAGAGGGCTTATAAGAAAGACAGATAAGAGTCTTTTTACCAAGGTTTGTAGTGACAGGACAAGGAACAACTATTTTAAACAGAGAGGGTAGATTTAGATTGGATGTAAGGAAGACATTTTTTATGATTAACATGGTGAGATACAGGCAAAACAGGTTGCACAGAGAAGTTGTGGATGCGCCATCATTTCAAGCGTGCAAGGTCAGGCTGGATGGGGCTTTAAGCAACCTGATCTGGTGAAAGATGTCCCTGCCCATGGCAGGAGTTGGACTAGATCTTTAAAGGTTCCCTCCCGCCCAAACCACCCCGTGATTTTATGATACATCCGAATTACAATGATGGCAGTTATAGGAGCACATTCAACCCTGAAGTGCCACGGCATAAGGCAGTAAAAGCAAATACTTTTTTTCCCTTTTAGCTGTTGATTGTGCGCTCTGTTAGTTTTTTCTAGAGATACCTACTGATTCCTAAAACATATTGGAATAGTTCATGAGAACTGAGACACAGGAGGACACTCAGTTTTAGCTTCTTTTTTTTTTTTCTTTTTTGTTACCATTTAAAAATAATCCTTACTTGTCAGTGTTTTTTTTATAAACCATATCTTGACTTGCACTCAACTTGCTGTACAGTTTCCTGTCAAAAAATTGCTTATTAACACTGGTCTCTCATCAATTGCTCCAGCAGAGCACCAACCCTGTAAACAGAAGCAAAGTGTCTGCTCTGTTAATCTAGATGGCTTTTAACCTGGATGTAGCTTCTGGTCATGAAATCATCTTTCAAGTAAAAGATCCTTTTTCCCAGATAAGTGTCAAGGCTTTAATTAGAACATTAACTCAGTTTCTCTGCACTTTCCTAGTGCTAGAAAGTATTTTAACGAATTGAACTCAGGCTACATGCTGACAAGAACACATATTTTTCAGCCTTACTTTTGTTTGTTTGCTTTCAAAATCTGTTTTAATCATTTTTCATAAGTAGTCTCTGTTGCTTCCTCAAAGCAAGCATCATTTTGATCACTGAAAATGGCCATTTTCTTTTTCCGTCTCTGAAAAATCAGAGCTGAAAACACATTCCCACTGTTCGTTTTTTCTCTTTGGAAAGTAGCAGCATTTAAAAAAATGAACTGTAAATTTAGCATTATTAAACAAACATAAATAAAAGAAAATTGCAAAAGGAAGACATTTTTCAAGTTTCCTTTTGTACCACAGATGCAAAACAAAGCAAACATTTGTTGCAGTTTGGGTCGGGTTGCCCAATGATAAAATTACAGATGCTCTCCCCAACCTCTCGCTCTAAGGAGAGGAAGAAGAGATTTATAAGTTCAGGAAAAACTGAACTACTTTAATCAAATATTAATAATAAAATAAAAAAGGAAGTAATGAAATAGATACAATATATACAAAACTGTATCTAGCTCCCAGGATGACGTCAGGTAGCAGGTACCGGGGAAGTTCAGGAACCCACAGACCAGGGTCAAAGGTAGATGAACTGACAGGGTCTCCTCAGTCATTGAAGAACAAGAGCCATCAAAAAAGCCAAGGTATCGAAGAAGATGCCTAGCCCTTTGATGCTTCAGCTTTTATAGTGAGCATGGAAGGTGGGATGGAATACCCTAGTGGTCAGTTTTGGGTCATCTGACTTGTCCACTCCTCCCCACAGGTGTGACCCATCCATGGGGTAAACAACCTAGCCACCTGGCCCCACAGCAACAAGGGTAATCCAGAGCCTCTCTCACTCAACATAAACTTGGCTCCACTCTACCCCAAACCAGGACAACTTCATATGTAAACATCTTATCTGCAGAACATTCACACTCAGAACCACAATGGCTGGTAGATATGGGAAACACTGAGAGCCACAACGTTTCTCAAGTGGAAATGCTGATAGAGAACAGTGATTTCTTCCCACCAAAACTGTATTCATTTGTATAACCAGGAAACTTTCTATTTTAAAGTTAGTGTTTCATTAGCTTTTTTCATCAGTAAAAGTACTGTAGCATAAGCGTACAAGTAACCTTTGAGCTTTAACCAGCATATTTTTTGTGACGCGGTGCTTTCAATAATGTCTGAGACTGCTAGAAGAATTACGGCCAAGATGAGAATAAAAAGCTAAGAATGGAAAATGAAAATTCATTCCATCTCAGGAAACCTATGGGACAAATTTGATTTAGCTCATATAGGAGGAAGCAGACTAAGTAACCTTGCCTAATATTTTCTGCATACCATCAGAGAACCACACCCAGAAAACTACTCCTGTTCATCTTCAGAGACATTTATGTGCAAGGCACATAAATAAATTTAGAAAAAAAAAAAGGAGACCATTCCTATAGATAAAACCTGCCACTGCCACACTGGAGCCTGGCAGAGAGCACACATAGGGAAATAGTGGGAGATGCAGCTTAGGTGAATCCTTACAGTGTTATGCAATACTAGTTTCCCAAACTAACCTCATGATTACTGGATGATATTGAACAATCTGTGCTCAGCAGATCAAGGTTAAACATAAACTGCAAATGAAGAAACTCCCAAGATTAATAACAGCAGTTTTGGCGGGCTCCAAAGAGTTGGTCAGCATTGCATTATCGAGCAGAAGCAATTCTTCCTCCTAGGAGAGTAACTGCAGGGCACTTGTACCTGAGCATGTATTTTTGCAGATAAGAGAACCAATAAGTAACAGTCATGTACATCAAATAGCATACCGTTTGTGGAAAGTCAACTGGAAAGCAGCACAAACTACTTCTACATGACCCTTAAACCCCAAAATACCTAATTGAACACCGCAGCTGGTGTACAAGGGATCCTGTTACAAGATGATATGATGTTCATAGCATTTACACAACGTGCTTTCTGCTACTGGAATGACTGTGCCTTTAGAATACGATAGTACACTTGAAACAGAAGGACAAACAATGCTTTCTTAAAATATTTTTGCACTGAATTTATCATTTTGAAGATCCCAGTAAATTTCAGTCTTTAAATAAATCTTTGCCTAAAAAAACATATGACATTCTGCATATTTGCCTGCCCAGATACTAAATCATCAAAACTTGTAAGCACTATCAATTATTCACAGTGACTGTGGTACAAGCATGGATGCCTGCAGTTATTAATTTATGGCATAAATTCATCCAGCTGAGAAGTCTTGAAAGAACAATAAAGTCCCGTGTGTTTTGTTGGGAAATTGCAGTGGGGCCTGAACAGCTGCTTACTGTTAGCTGCCTTTCCAAAACAAGACCATCCATACCAGTTTACAAACAAATTTAGATCTATTGGTGAGCATAGGCATCTGCTAATATCAACAATTTTCTTGCAACTGAACAGTGATTAAATCACACCAGGTTCATATAATTCAGCTGTCCAATTCTTTCTGCCATACTCTATGGCAAATTCTATCTGCACAGATACTGACTCACAAGGTACCAAAACACATACCCAGCTTTAATCACCCATATGTGCTTTGGCAATAATATTCTGGCCTTCACAAATTAGGTTGCATACACTCTGAAGTTTTGTGGGTTTTTTACCCCCATAGAAATTCTACGTAGAAGAAGTACCAAAAGCATCATAGAGAATTAAGAAAAAAAACCTGAGAAAATATCACTAATAAATGATAAAACAACGCCTATTAAACCACTGCAATAATGACTACAGCATATTGTTGACACTATATCATGTATACCAAGGACACTAAAATTTTAACAGTATGAAAACTTATAAAATAGCTCCACAATTAAAGTCTTAAGAAAGGGAGAATTAGCACAATTTTTTACTTTTTATTTATTTTTTAAACCAAGAAGAGGGCTTTCTTTTTATGTTTTTATTTTTTTTAATCAAGAAGAGGGCTTTCTTTTTATGCTTTTTATCCAGAGCCTAGCGTGAGGAGTACTGTATGTGAATTGTGGGGAATGTACCCCACACTCAACTTCCAATCCCCACTCCCCACCCTCCCCAGTCCCTACTTCCAGTGTAATCAAAGCATTTTCTCTGTTTTTTACAATGAAGTTATCTAAAATACAAACAAAGAAAGTTTATGGACCTGAAGTTTATGGACCTGGGTCATTGGCACTAAGTTAATACACACAATTTAAGCATGTAATTTTTTAGTTCAGTTGAACTGAAGACTATCAATAGCTCTTTATATGAATATACATATATATTTAAAATACAATATAATAAATATGCAATAATATTTATTATATAATATAATAATACACACACACACTTTGGTAAGGTTATGTAGGTAATGCCATTCCTAACCTTTCCGTATCAGTTGCAAAGGTTCTTCCCTCACCCATATGTGATCAAATAACAGACGCAAATACAGCACAAACTACCTAAAGAAATCTGACATTTCCAACTAAATACCTTAAGAAATATTGGTATGTCCAGAGCAAGGCTAACAAACAAGTCTTGCCCAGATTTGCCTATATTCCAGATAGGTTGATATCTTCCACTTCCCTGTGACTGATCCCATGTTTTACTACTTTTCAGGAGTACCTCCACAACAAGATGACCATAGAGAGGACCTGCTTAACCAGGCAGGGCTGCTCAGATTCACACTAATTTATCCCAAGGGGAATATTAAGTTTATTTGGTAAGTTCACACTAAAGAAATAATTGTGTAGCCATGCTGAAGACCTTAAGTATTGCATATATTTGATGTTAACAGATGACATGATATGAAACTGACTACCAAATAAATGAGAAATATCTTGATGCAAACACTTCTCTTTTAATATAGCACTTCAGATACTTTGTTCGTTGTCTTAAGAATATTTATCAATATTTAAAAGTTATTTGTATACTTTTACTGTTAAATTTCATATACTTTATTATTCCTGCATAATAGTTTGTATACTTTTACTGTTAATTTTATTTCATATACTTTATTATTCCTGCATAATACTTTGTTTGTCT